CTCTCAACTCCAAGGTACAGCTGCACTTGGACTGGGAGCTCCAGCCCAGCCAGGCCTTTTGACTTTTCAAGTCTAAAAAAGACTAATTCAGTTTTCTGTGTATCCCTAAGGGGGGCTTTCCCCCAGCATTGCTGTTCTGTCCTTGCCATGGAGTAGCCATTRAGAAAATGCTTTGTGTTAAGACATCTTTATTTCAAAATTCTGATGTCAAACACTGAAATGCAGTGACAATATTGTTCTGAAGCTGTTGTTTGTGAGTGTTAAGCCTCTCACCATGTTTTCTGTACTCTTGAATCTCTTAGGTTGTGTGTCAGTATTCTAGTTTACTTTCTCCAATGAGYGTGGATGCAGTGATGAAGGTGATTGACCCAAGTACAGCCAATAGTGTGGACCTCAGAGATATCAAAATTGTTAAGAAGTTGGGGTAAGAAACAGTTTCTAATTAGATAAATTTTGTCTCTGTGAAATCAGCTTCCCAGAGTGCTCCAGTCATGAGCTGTGTTTTTTTCCAGAGGCACAATTGATGATTGTGAACTGGTTGAGGGACTCGTTCTGACTCAGAAGGTGGCAAATACCGGCGTAACCAGAGTGGAAAAAGCCAAAATTGGCCTCATTCAGTTCTGCTTGTCTGCGCCAAAGACAGATGTAAGTCAGACTGTGGCTAGAGTTAAACTTCATGCTCTAGGAATTGGGACATGCAAAYGTAATAACAAATATTTTTTTAAGATGCTGTGGTGTCAGCTCTTTGCCACAGCTGGAGTGAAGGGCTGCTGGGTCCTAAAAAACCTTGCAGTTGGTATAAAAAAAAGAAAATTGTTTAAATTATGAGAAGTACCGAACTGTCTCTAATAGTATTTTGCTGTTAGGTGTATTTGTTTTGATTTACAGCATCTGAAGTTAAAGAATGTGGAACATTTTAACATTTGTTTGTAAAGTCAGCTGACAATACTTGCTTTTCTATTTTTTATTTTGAATAGATGGACAACCAGATMGTTGTTTCTGATTATGCTCAAATGGACAGAGTGCTGCGTGAAGAGAGGGCCTACATCCTGAACTTGGTGAAGCAGATCAAGAAGGCTGGCTGCAATGTGCTGCTCATTCAGAAGTCCATTCTGCGGTACGTTCATACCCAGGCACGGGCTCTCTGTGGGTGCTCGTGGGGACAGTTGGAATTGTTTGGAAAACTGAAGCCAAACAGTCACACTTGGCAGAGTAACAGAGTATCTTCAGAAAGCAGCAGCATTGTCTGTATTTTGAGTTTGATGACATCCTTGCTTTGTACTCTGAAGAATTTGAGCCCTGGAAACTGACTCATTTACTGCTCCTTTTCAGGGATGCTCTCAGTGACCTGGCTCTCCATTTTCTGAACAAAGTTAAGATCATGGTGGTTAAAGACATTGAAAGAGAGGACATTGAGTTTATATGTAAGGTAAGGTGGGTCACATAAATGATCAGCAGGGTTTAAAATCTACTCCAAAACTTACTGCTCAGCCAGGGTCAGTTTATTGTGCACTTTCACAAGTTCCATGTTTTGAGTATAATACAAGAGCAAACATTTCCCTAAAAAACATTCCTGGTCTGCTGAGCAATTCACTTCTATGGAAGGATTCAGGACAGATGTAAAAGCCACAGTCCCTTCTGCATTTTACTGCTGTAYGCAGAACAATATGCAGTGTACTTGCTGACTCTGCAGTCAGCTTCTGGATTAATTTTTTTCCATTATTTTTTCAGACAATTGGAACTAAGCCTGTGGCTCACATTGACCAGTTCACTCCTGACATGCTGGGCTCTGCTGAGCTGGCAGAGGAAGTCAACTTGAACGGTTCTGGGAAACTAATAAAGGTGAGTAAGGGACAAAATTGATACCTGCTTAAATCTGTCAGTCATTTTAATAACTGGTAGCATTAAACATTTTTGCTATGGAATTTATTGCATTTAAGTACCTATTTCTAAGCTCTGAGTAGCCACCAGCTTGAGTTGTGCAGTGGTTTTGCTTGACGAGACATCAGTGCTGTTAGAGAGTTTGAAAKTGCCAATGGCAGGGTCTTTTTGTCAAAACTTACATTTTTTCCCCAGTGTCAGTATTTGGCTTTATATTTTAGATTACAGGCTGCACAAACCCTGGGAAAACTGTGAGCATTGTGGTACGTGGATCCAACAAACTTGTCCTGGAGGAAGCMGAGCGTTCCATTCACGATGCCTTGTGTGTCATACGGTGCTTAGTTAAGAAAAGGTAATGTCTCAGTTTGGTTAATTAATAACACAKAAAACMKAATTGTGTGTACACTTATGTGAAAWGAGGTTTGATGTTCATTTCTGTGCTCTCAGAGCTTTGATTGCTGGTGGTGGAGCCCCGGAGATTGAACTGGCACTGCGACTGAACGAGTACGCCCGGACGCTGAAGGGGATGGAGTCCTACTGTGTCCGTGCCTATGGGGATGCACTCGAGGTCATTCCCTCCACCCTGGCTGAGAACGCGGGGCTAAACCCCATCTCCACCGTTACAGAGCTCAGAAACAGACATGCCCAAGGAGAGAAAACAGCTGGCATTAACGTCAGAAAGGTAATGAGTTAAAAGACCTGGGTATTACAAGGAAAATGCCTTGCCCTAGGGCTGAACTAGTGAGAGGGCAAGTTGGTGTCTCACACTGGTAGCCTCCCTAAAATTAGCAGAGGGAAATTGCAGCTTGTTCTCTCAAGAGCTCACCCTGAACATTGCTAATAGTAGATACTCAGTGCCATACCCACAGGACAAGAAACATCCCATGTCTTCACAACATTAGATGCATTTTAACTACAATAGATGCATTTAGAATGATCCATCAGTAGGATCTGCAGTAGAAGGTGTTCATAAGTTGGGAGTAGCACCACAGTTTATTCTCAATTGGCCACAGTGACCTTTTTTCTTGGCTAATTTTGACTGGGTATGTCAAGTACTTGGAGGGAGAATGTGCAATATTGTAACACTCCTGTTGCAGATGGAGAGTACAAGCCCTATGATAGTCCGGGATTTGACTCGGGATTCTGCTAGAAGAAAACGTGCTCAATGTAACTGTAGTCTGTCTTGCACAAAGTAAAGGCTCATTGTTCCCCTAGGGTGGCATTTCCAACATCCTGGAGGAGCTGGTTGTGCAGCCACTGCTGGTGTCTTTGAGTGCACTGACTCTCGCAACAGAAACCGTGCGCAGCATTCTGAAAATTGACGATGTGGTGAGTAGTGCTGGCATTCTGGTGTGGGTTCTCTTGATTTCACAAGCACCAGGATATTGTAATTAATTTGCTTTGCTTCAAAATACAGTTGYTGTGTAGAGAATTATTTTTATGTGCTACTTAAGACCATCCAGCCTTTTAATAACTGCAGCTAGAATTTAAAGCATTATAAATACTGCACCATAAAGCAAAGAATGAAGTCACTAACACCCCAGGATCTTTACACAAAGAAGGAATTGTGGTGTATCCTGTGATTTCTTCTGCCTGACTGCAAACTCTTTGCAGGTGAACACTCGAGGGTAAGCTGAGCAGAGAGGTGGGGACCATGGCCTTGAGCTCCTGCCCTGTAGCTGGAATATGGATTCCTCACCAAAAGCGCCTGTGTGAATTGTCTTAAACTCCACCCAGACTGATGTACTTGATCAGGTTCAACTTTGAAAAGTTTGTTTTCAAAAGGAAAATGCTGTTTTGTCAATAAACATGCAGTAGTCTACCTGAGTCTTTGCTGAATACTTTTATTAGAATATGTTACATGTTTTGTTACATTTGGTTTTCTGTGTTCTGTGCTCCTTATCTGTGAAAAGTTTAAGGCAACTAATTAGCTTTTGTGATACATTCTAAAACCAGCCTTGAAGTGCACTGTAATAACATGCTGGCTTGGAGCTGTTTCTCMCAAAGCTTTCCCTAAGGGTGTGGTGTTAGTGCTCTTGGTGACGCCAGGCTAAACAGGAGAATCTTTGCAGTGAGAGCACATCACATTCCTTCCCCTCCTGAGGTCTGCAGTGATTCCTGATGCATCCCATAATCCACAGTCCTACAAAGGATGTTCTTCACAACGTTTCCTCCCGCTGCCCACAGATTGATTGGTTTTCCCAAAGCTGTCTGAGAAGTCAAAAAATACATGGTTCTAAAATAATGCAAATTATTTTTCCAACTTCTAATTTTTAGTCTGCCATTTTGAATTAACGTTTCATCTCCATTATTGCTATATTGAAAAAACCTAATTCATCTTTATGTTTAAATGAGAACGTTTCTTCCATTCTCACACTTCCAGTAATGAGTGGTTGGAGCTGGAGCTTTTAAGTGAACTTCCACTGTGGTGTTGACCTGCTGTTGCTGTGACTTGCCAAATAGAACAAGCAGAATAATTCAGCTACTAATTAATCAATTAGACAATTGGTGTRGGCATTAATACTCTGCATGAATTATTCATTGCCTGTTTAAAATTGCAAATGATATTTTACCCCACAGGGTCACATCCAACAATGATCTCTTAGTTTAGGTACTATCATTAAAGCTTTCGTTCCCATTATCACAGAGTTAACAGTTCTTGACAAGAAKTACAACAATTGTGTGTGATTTCATACAGTAATTTCGCTACAGTAAATAGGTCCGTCCATCATTAATGCTTCTGTCGAGGCAGAACGTTCCTGCTTATCCTGGTTTAGGATAGAAAATTCCAGGGCAGAATATTCCTTTTTATCCTGGTTTAGCCTTACGGTGTAATTGCTTACCTGAAGTACATACTTTAAGATGGAAAAAGCTTCTTTAGTAACMTGAGGGTGTAAAATGGTGGGCTCGCCCGTGAGAATTACCGGTGCCGACTCAAATCCTGCCATGATTTACCGAGAAATGCGTCTGTGCAGCAGATGCGGGCGGGGCGAAGCTGCAGCGCTGCCCCGCCTCCGGCGGGCGGAGGAGGCGGCGGTGCCCCTGGGCTCGGGCCGGGCAGTTAACGCGCCCCGGGGCCGCCTCCGCSAGGGCCGAGTGGGAGCCGCCTCCGTGCGCTCCCTGCGCGCTTCCCGCCCGCCGGCCCCGCCGCTGCCCGCGCCCCGGGATGGTGGATGCGCACCGGGCCGCCTGCCTGGCCGCCTCCTGCCTCCACACGCCTCTCGACCCGCGCACACGGGCTCCCGCCGCGCTCTACGAGCGGGGGCCGCCGCCCGCCGCCGCGCAGGTACCGCGGGCGGGGCTGTTGGGCAGCCGGGGACGCGGGGCCGGGGCTCCCCTCAACCTGCCCCACAGAGGGGTCCCCGCGTCCCCCGGCACCGCACGGGCAGGCGCCTCCCTGGGGCACAAGGGACGCGGACACCGGGGACACCTGACAGATGGCCCTGCTGCACAGCCGATCCCTTAAGGAGCTTGTGGCACCGCGGCGTCTGGAGGGCACATACATTAAGGGGCCGTGCCCAACCCAGGGAAAAGGCTTGGATCGGTCCGCGAGTCGACAATCGAAACTGGGTTTATGCGCCGTGGTGGYACCAGCAGGCAGACAGGTGGAGGTTTCTGTCCCTGGGTGTTCTCTATGGGCACTTCAAATTCGCTGCTTTGATCCCCTAATTCCCATTGCATTAGGTCACTGCCGGGGAAAAAAACACTTAGAGATTTTTGCAGTGAAAACCTGACAAAACATAAGCAAAAGTTTTTGCTGGAATGTCAAAGCTTATTAAAATACTCCTGCWTGGAAAAGTAGTATTCTAATCTTTTGATAAAAGAAACTGCCCCATGACTTTTTAAAACATGGTGCTTGAAAAAGAGCTAAGTGAAGACTTTGTGATGCAGACTGACCTGGCTTTAATAACTTCTCTGACTTGTGTAGGCTTTAAAAATATGTAAAGAATATTACCTGCACACAGCTGCAAACTGCCAAACACTACTGGAAATATAAACTGTGCAGAAGTCGTCATTTCACAGTAACTTACAGAATCTCTAATGACTTATATTAATGACTCTAATGACTTATATTTAGAGTGGTTATGGAAATGGGAGGCAGAGAAGGTTCTGTTCGCTTGTAAATAAAGTCATTTTTARAGCTGCATAGTAATCAAGGAATACTTTACAAAAATAGTTAATTTTTTCTTTTGGTAAATCCTTTTGGTCATATTTCCTGTTATAAACATATTGATTAAAGGGAATTTTTATAGGGTTTAAATAGGACCCTTAGGGAATTTTTATAGGGTTTAAATAGGACCCTTAGGATATAAATTAATATTCAATAAGATTATTCCATGTAATTCTCCATTTATGTACATATACAGGTATCTCTATTTGGTGTTATTTTATCATTCATTAGACTTATGGAGGATAAAGCAACATTAAGAATCTTGTTCCACTTCCCTCAAGCAGAAAAATTTACAAACATCTCTTCTAGGATGGCTTTGATTTGGATTATACYGAGAGAGAGCAGACTCCGCCTCCAAAGAGAGATTGTGACAAATGGATAGACTTTTCCAAAATGTACCATTCAAATCAGGAGTATTACTTGAAGCTAGAGGAGTTGAAGAATGCCCACATGGAGACCATGGCAAAAYTGGAAAGTATGTATCGGAACAAAATGTATTTAAAAGGAGTACAGCCCTCGGATAAGAGAAATGACACTTCTCCAAAGTGCTGTAGGTAAGTTTGGCAACACTTTTTAGCTAAAGATACCCAAATACTTTGCAGGCAGCTGTAAAACAGCAGGGTGTGTTTCTGGGACTGGAAAGTGTTGCTCTCCCTATCTCTCCTAACCAGGCAATCAGAGAAAAGTCAGTTTTAATAGAAATGCTCATTAACTRTCTAATGATCTGTGAGGTTTAGAGGCAGGTGTGCAGCAGGGATTGGGCTGCACATTTTGGAAAGCACAGGGCTTTTCCCAAGTCAGGAAGTGCCGACCTGGTGCTCAGCACTAAACCAGGATCTGGTTTGAGTGCCCAGTGTACTGCTGTTTTCCCTTCTCTCCCCCCTCAGCCACTCGTTTTTGTTTCTARTGGTGATTCCTTAGAGTGGAAGTCACTGGCTTTGCATCAGTGTTGGACTGGCTCAAATCAAATTGTTTATTTTTCCTCTTTTTTCAAGGCCAACTTGGGACAAGAGCTCATATCAGCCTCTTAACCTGCACAAATCCTTTTCAGACTCAGACTTAAGTGATCCCTTGAGCTCAAGTATATCGGATCTGTCTGATGGAGAATTAGTATCTGAAGAAAATGGCAGTGAAACTGGATCATCCTCATTTGCTAAGCAGCAGATTGAAAAAATGTGGGATGGGTTCTCTCTGGAAGACTACATCTCCCGTGCCAAGCACAGCTTGTCAAACTCACCGGCCTGCAGGAAGGTGCAAAAGAAACAGAAAGTGTGGTCCCCCAGAGTCACCGTGCCCAAGCCTTTCCAGATGACCATCAGAGAAGCTCAGAAGAAAGAGCAGAACATCAAATCCAAGTCACAGATCGAACTGGAAAATCACTTACTGAAGAAGCAACTAGAGGAAGAAGCAGAGTGCCAGAAAAAATTCCGAGCCAACCCAGTGCCYGCTGCCGTCTTCCTGCCGCTCTACCACGACATTGTGCAGCGGAACGAAGAGCGCAGGAGGTCTGTGAGGGAGAGGAGCAAACTCAAGCTCCTGGCTTCCCAAAAGCCATTTAAATTCATTGAACGAGAGAAGCAAAGGAGTGAAACCAGGAGAATGCAGTTAAAAGACATTTCCCCACCTGAAAACAAAATTAAAGTGTTCAGAGCGAAACCAGTTCCTAAATGTGTTTATAGTCCAGATTTCAGTGACAAGCTAAAGGAGGAGGAGCTCTACAGAGAAATCAGGATCAAGATGAGAGCTGAGGAGTTGCTACGAAATTCATCTGTACCCAACAGCAGACTGGCTTTAAAAGGGACCAATAAAAAGAAACACAAGAGCACTGAACCAAAGCAAACAGAACAGAAACCCAAGATCAAATCAAGTGTTCCGGATTTTGAACGCCTGCACGCAAAATTCCAGAAACGCTTCCTGCAACAAAGGAAAGTGAAACACCTCACAGTCTGTGAGCCTTTCGACCTTCGTACTTCGTACATTCCCTCAAAAAAGGGCAAGATCTTGAAGGACATTCAGGATGATGAAGAAAAATTGAAGGAAACACGGTGGCCATTTGCCTCTCCAAGACGGAAACCTCAGACGGGACAGTCAGGGGAAAATCCACAGCTCTTGGGAGAAGGAGAATCCAGATTTCCCAAAAACACAGAATCCACGAGACGACGGCTACAGGCTCTAAGGTGACTACTTAAGAGATGCTCTACTTGACATATACTTGAAAATACTTTTTTTTATTGGTATATATTTGTTATTTTATTTGGTATTAATTTTAGTATTTCAACACATGTAATTAATTCTTCTGTGCAGTGAATATAGGACTTAATTTGTTAATATAAAGGCTTATAATATAAATTTTAAAATATTTAAATATTGTGCTTTATTAGTATTATTAGAGAAACACTAGTGCATTTTTGTCCGAATGTCCCCAAGAAGAAGACAAATGACTGCTGTTTCCCTGGATATCCTGGATCCCTTAGAAGGGCACATACCTTGTGTTCTCTCATGGCAACCCTGTTTTTCTCTTGGGAATCATCTTTGCCAAAACTCTAGTTTTAAAATGAATTCAGCCTTAGTTTATTTTCCCCACCAGGAATTCACTTGAGGAAAAAAGAAGGCTGGAAGAACAACAAAAAAGGAACAGAACCAAGCAGAAACAAAGAAGGAAAAAATTCCAGAAAACTGTAATGGCTCGGGCTGAGGCCAATGACCCACATCAGAGCCTAGCTCAGATGTCTAAATCCAGATTAAAAACATTCAGGTATTTTGTTGCATTCCCCTGAATCCTGAACATCTCATTCAATAATGAGAAGGAGAGGTTCAGGATTGCATTGTATGTTAAAAATACAATGTTGTAAAGAAAATAGCATAGTCTAAGTTTAGATACTTACACATGGTAAAATTACACATGGGGCAAGCAGCCGGGAAAAAAACGTTGTCAAATGTAGTATTTCAGCTGGGAAATTGTTGCCAGTCTATATTGAGAAATACATGTATTCCACCTGAGAGTATTACAGATTCACTAACAGGGGACTCCTGTGTTTTCTCAAAGGATGTATTAACTAAAGAGCAAAGGTTTATAAAAATCCAAAGGAAAGGGAACAGTATGGATACARAATATCATTGCAGAGCTGGATGCTGCCCTGGTGTTAGTGCAACTCYGGCGCAGCAGTGAACATTTCACAATTCACTTTTTTGTCCCAGCAGGTCCCCACTGAAGAGCCAAATTAAAGCAGGAATATTTTAACTTCACAGTGTAACAGCAGCGACTGAGGGAGTTGCTGGTGTTCAGGAGGAATGGGATCCAAAGTTACCTGGAGTAGAGATGTAGTGCAAAGACTGTATATGACTGAGTACACAGGGAAGAACATGAGAGCCCTCTTGGGGTGCTGTAAGGTGCCAGCCAGATGGCTCCAACTCTGACACACATTTAACCCCATGACTGCTGCTTGGCCTTGTGTTTGGGGGTAATTTAACCCTTTCTGCTTTTCTRATCCTAAAATAAAAAGCATCCTGTTTGAATAAATCTTTGGTGAGGTTTGTGATCTGGCCTGGTGCAGTGGCACTGGTGCAATATCAACAGCTTTAGGTGCTGTTAGATGGAGATGGTGAGAGGCACAGATGGCTGTGCCCCTGTAGCTTCATGCCTGGGCAGGATCCTTGGGCAGCAACCATGAATCCTGGTTTCCAGTGACCTGGCATGCTGTTAATAACAGGGGCTTTATAATGTGTGTGTCCTCTGCTGCCTCTGGGACAGAAGCACGAAACTGGAGTCTGAGTAGGTGGAGARTTAAGAGAGACAGTGGGTGATTGTAGATGTGGTTTGAGTTCATTCAGCAGCATCTTCACGTTACAGTGTTCAGCTTAATCAGATTTCAGGAGCTCTTGCTTGGGTGTGAAATGATGCTGTTGCAARGCAAGATTATTTCAGTGGTGCTGATGCAAGGGTTGGTCCAAGTGTTGAACCTGAAATGCTCATTTCAGCAAGCGGGGCAGTAAGGTCTGTCAGTGTCAATGCTCTTGCGAGCAAGGAGCAGCAAAGAAGTTCACTCCCCCACATTGTGAGGAAGAGGAGAGAAGCATCAGGGAGAGAAGCAAAAGTGTAAAATGCCCCCTTGATCTCTTCCTTGCCCTTAGGTGTCTGATCTGTAATGCCAGGGCTGGCCCAGTTCAGAGGCACAACACAGAGCTGTCTGTCCACACTGAGGATTATAACCCATTCCACCTGTGCTTTTACCAGTGCTCCCTGTGATCCCAGAGATCCTTTTAGTTATGAATCAACAGTTTCATTATCCTGCCCTATTGACTGGGCCCTTGGCAAACCAGCTCAGGAGRAAAGTGTTCCATGATCCAGAACGTGGTCACCCCTCTTGGGAGATCGACTGCTAAAGTAGCAACATTCTCATCAGACTTTAAAAGTACTGATTTTTATTTAATACTGTTAATTTCCTGTGGTATATTCTGTTTCATTTTGCTTAGAACAACTGGAAGATCTGTAGGCAATCAGCAATTTAAAAACCCTAAGTATCCAATTCTTTAAAAAAAAAAAATAATCCGAACCCAGCCTCTAACACCAGTAGCCAGGATCTGTCTCTGTTTAGCCAAAGTGACTCCTTCAGAGATTAATTGTTCAGTACTTCCCTTTTATGTATCCTTAAATACAGCAATGTTTAGTTTGTTATGAGCAATTTATCTGCTGTTGAAAATTACTTCTTATACTATAAATTAATAATGATTTCTCTTGTACTCTGCTTCCTGCAGGAACAATGAGAAGCAGAGAAGGCAGGAATATTTGCAAGAATTGCAAGAAATGGAAGAAAGAGTAAAACAAATGCCATTGCTTTTTGAAAGAGTCACTCAGGTTGCCTTGTTTCTGAACTACTAATTAATGTTGRCTGATACTGAATTTGTCATCTAATATTTTTAGAAGATACTTAAAAAACACTTTTCAGGGCAGTATTTCTCCATTTCAATCTCTGTTGCCCCATCTCCATATAAATATCAATGACTTTTGTGACATGCTTGCACACGGAACRGAGAACTGTTGTAAAAATGTGTCTGGTTCAATCACAACATGAGAAATTCTGACCACAACCAAACATTGTTGACACAGAAAAGTAAAATCTCGTTTAAAATTTACAGGTATTGTTTTGCCATTCCCACCTGCAGTGAATAATCATTTTCACCTATCAGCTGCAATTCATGAAACAGAGGATTCATATAAATAAAAGTATCAAAAACCAGGCATTTAATGCATTAGATAACATTTAACCATGGTGTTTTTTCCACAGAAAAATGCCAGAATAGCTGCAGAAAAGCATTATTCAAACAGACTGAGAGCACTGGGGATATGCCCAGAGTTTGTTTCAGAGAAAGGACAAGCAGCCAAATCACTGCAATTCTCCGCTGATGAAGATTTTACCTCCATTGCTGTCAGAGAAAGGTAGAGCTTACTGAAGGCTTTTTTAAAAAATCCACTACCTATCTAATAATGAGAAAATCTTTCATGTGTAGATTTGGGGTTGYTTTAATGATTTTTCCCTATTTGACTATGTGGTTTGCTTTACTAATGTTAGTGTTAGGATGTACTTTTGATTGGTTTTCCTGAAGTAAGTATTCTTTCATAAAACAGATGAGAGCCACTTAACCAAACTGGTTTTATTATGTAATGCACTTCAAAAAAAAATTTTTTTTGTTCCTTTCATCAAAAATTCTGGCAGGTTGCTGTACATTTAAATTTTATATTTTTTAAATGGGTTTTATTAAAAATAGTTTTCAGTGTSCATTGAGTGTTATGATTTAAAAGGAAGCAAAAATTTTTAAAAAATGGAATATATAAGCAATACTGTTGAGTTACTTTCTAACATAAAGAAAGACTCTTGTGTCCCCCCTTCCCTTTTCCTGCCCCAGTTCCTCCCCAGCCAAGACTACCAGAATTTGTCCTAGATTACATAAAGGTAGTTTAACACCTCCTGGAAAGCATCTTCCCAGAAAATAAAACCCCACATGCAATTTGTCTTTTCAGAATCATCAAGGTTAAAGTGAAAAAAAAGAAATCTTTTGAGGAAGCAGCTGATGACAATCCCCAGTCTGAACAGTCCTGGGAGGAGGAAGAGGAAGAGAAAGGAAAAGGGCTCAAAACCTCCACCCCAGATGAGCAGTCCAGTGAGCTGGAGGATGAGGATGGGGTCAGAGGCAGCCCTTATGTCCAGGAGCCTGAATCCAGCATGTCCTTTGGCCAGCAAGGTGAGGAGGAGGAGGAGGAGGAGGAGGAGAAGGAGGAGGAGGAGGAAGATGAGGAAGAGGAAGAGAAAGCAAAAGCAGGCCCATCACTTGGCCTTTCCCAGGAGGAGGAAGAAGCAAAAGCAGGCCCATCACTTGGGCATTCCCAGGAGGGAGAGGAGGAGGAGGATCAGTCCAGAGCCAGCTCTCCATCTGAGGGGTACCACGAGCACAAAGAGGAAGCTCAGTCAGACCCCGAAGCTGAGGGTGCCTTCCAGTATGAGGATGAGGAATATGAGAGTGATGATTCGGAGGAGAAGCCCASTGATGAGGAAGGTTACTGATGGGAAGGTTTCAGGATGGCCTGGGATTCAGGGACTCAGGGACCTCTTCCACTGCTGGTCATAGAACCAAAGAAAAACTTGGTGCTTTGCTAYGGATATAAAATTCCATGAATTTTTACCTCATAGTTTGAAAACAAGTGCAGAAATTTTGTTTGTTCCCCAGTTAGAAAGCTCARGTTCCTAGTTTGTATCAAGAAAATAATTTGTTTTCGTTTTAATCTTCTTTGTTCCAGTTTTCTGTGACATTAGTGCACCTCTGTTCTGAGCTGCAACCTCGTTGTTTAATAATAACATTACACAGTGTGCTGTGTAAATACTGAGGGCTCATTTCCAGCTCTTCCCACGTGCTGGCAAAACCAGGGGAGATTTTGGAGCAGGAATTGCCATTTTGTCCCTGTAAAAGGGGAATCTTTTTACCTCAGGTAATTCTAGTTGTATGAAACTATGCAAGGAAGTGCTTTAGTACCTCTTCTTACACACTGGTTACCCAGGGCTTCACCTACTCTACAAAATGGAATGAAAGTAAAATGTTTGGGATGTGTTTTGTTCCCTTTTATCCTTATTAATATCTTCTCTTTCTTGCTACCTGTCATATGCAGTGTTGGGAAAAATCCCATCCATGTAAAATCTGTTATTATTTCTTCCTCTTTCTTTTGTTACACAGTTTCTCCATRTTTGGAAGTTTTTTAAGCAGTATTACTTTTATTTATTTTTGAAGTGTGAACATAACAATGTGGATTTGAATCTTTTTAAAAACTTGAATAAAATATCTGTGAAAATATTGATCCCTGCTTCACAAGGAAGTTTGCTTGTGGTTGTCAGTATTGTGTAATTCTGAAAAATTGTACAATTAATAATCCCATATTGCTGGTACTTGTCTCCAGGAAAACAAATTTTCTGAAAGAAGAACTCTAAATTATGTTTTTACTCAGATTATTTGAAGTGATTTCAAAGAAAAAACAGTCAACTCTGTTTCTAGTATTTGACAGTACTCAACTAAGTGTTCTAAAAGAACAAATAAATAATTATTGAACTACTAAAGTAGGGATTAAAAATACCACTAAAATTCCTTTGAACTTAAAGARGGTAGAAAACCCAATGATTTTTAAGGCTCCAGAAGGAGCTGGGGACTTGTGTATAACAGAGATGTAGCTTGTTGCTGAATTTTTACATATTAATAATAACAGAATTCATTAASATGGTAAATATGATATAACCAGGAAGAGTTAGGACAGCTTTTGGAGGTTATGCCTCAGCATTTTTAGTATTTCTGGAAAATAAAAACAGAATTTGTGGACTAAGGAGATCCAATGGATATGGTTTCCCAAGATTTCCAGGAAGCATTTGACACAATTTGCTATCAAAGGATCTTAAAGAAACCAATCTTATTGGTAGGAAAAGAAAGATCCTCATGAATGGGAAATCAAACTTTGAGATATTAAAGGAACCACTTCTGGAAATGGGAGCAGCAGAGCTTTTCAGAGGAGGAGGATAATGAGATTTAAGTCCAAAAAACTGTTCGGAAATTGCATTACAAACATAAAGGGATAAACATTCCAATAATGAATAAAAAAGCAGAGAAAGCAAAGAAAAATCAGAGATGACAGAATAGAAATTTAGACAGACMGGTCACGGTGAAATAAATCTGCTGAAGCAAAGTACAGCAGTAAAAATATTTTAAACAAAGAAGATCCATGTACACCTGTCAGAAGATGAAAAATAGTCTGGCCTAAAAACCAAGTCATGCTTTGACCTCTTTTCTTTCCTTTTTTTTTTTTTTTTTTTTTTTTTTTATAAAAAAAAAAAAAAAAAAAAAAAAAAAAAAAAAAAAAAAAAAAAAAAAAAAAAAAAAAAAAAAAAAAAAAAAAAAAAAAAACAAAACCAAAAAAACTAACCAAACCTATATTTAAAGAAGAAACCTAATAACTTCAACATGAAAATCAAAATCCAGGTGAAGGATTTTGGAAAATTGCCGAGATGTAAAGAGGTACCACAGAAAGGAGAACAGAATATGTGGTACTCTGTCAGAACTCAAAATATATTGGTGCAGTTAACATAGAGGAAAAAAAAAAAGTCTTTTATTTTAATTCTCAAAAGGTGTTATAATAGAAGCATTTTAAGGTACAAGGCTCATTAGAGGAGAAATGCTGATGAGTTATGCATTCAAGGAAGCCACGTAGAAGGAGGAATAGAAACTTTTCTCACAGATTATTGAATATTCTGTCTTTAATATTTTAATTAGTAGCCACAGCACAAAAGTAAGAACATGTTCAAAAATTTGCAAAGAAAATGAGAAAGGTGTATCTGAAAAAAGGATTAAAAATACCACATGGGAAGAAGAGGACAACTTTGCATGGGGACTGTAGTATAAAAYAATTTTGAAGTGMAAGAATAGTGTTTCTATATAACAATTATATATATTTATGTTTTGAAATATAAAGCCAGAAGGTTTGGATGTTGAATTTTTTCAAGAATTCTTTCTATTTACAATGTTRCTTCCTCTAGAAACCATCTTGCCCTGTAATAATTATCACAACACCAAGCAGGCTATGTTCTCTTTTCCTTTGAGGAAAAAATTATTACATCTTTACCTTTTACAGCTGCTCCAGATGAAGAGAGTAACAAAAGAATTCATATTCCTGGAAGAAAAGATTTAAAGGCTATTTTGAAATTAATTATGGTCTCATTTAGAATCCTCAAGGCTTCTCTAATGGCAGCAAGCWAAATATTTGCCTGAGCTTGGCAGATAATTGGCACTGTAAAAGATCAAAATATATATTAAAAATTATTTCTAACAGTGTGTCTATCCAATTGCCCACAAATTTAAGCCAAACATGAGTTTTGGATACAGAATACTTTTGTTCAGGAATACTGTCTAGTTCATTATTACAAGATATGGCAACTGCTGGCTTACAAACATTAAAATAATAAAATCAGATAAATTATATAAAATTAGAAATAGTTTGGTGTCTGTCCTCCTCACCCTTCAGTGGAATTACAGTTTTATATCTCTGGTTATATAATATTTTGGTAATTACTTGGCTTGAGGATAAAAAAAAAGCCCTTGCATACTCCAGCAAAATTCAAAATTGCTTCTTTCTTCAATAGGAATTCCAGGTATCTGAGGAATGCCAGATCAGAACTAAGACTTAACAAATAGTATCAGAAAAATTCCTGTCCCTCCTGTCTGCTAAAATCACAGCAGTCAGATGGAGCAGAGAAATCAGGGATCACAGGGATTAGGCAAACCACACAGGCATGAAGGAAGGTGCAGGAGGTGTAGGTCAGGAGGTGACAGGGACAGCAGGGCTTCCCCCCTTTAGTTCTGGCCAGTTATGATCCATGTCCCACGGAACTGCCTCCCAGGATTAGCCAGGTGGGACTATCCCCCACAAGCTCACGTGGCTGTAGCACACAGAAGGCACGAGCCAGAAAAATTCTTATTTTCTGATGATTAACCCTGGGAATGAGACCATGTTTAATTTCAYGAGCACAAATGCTCCYGTGAAAGTCAGTTTTAGTCAACAGRGCTAAAAACAAGAATATTTGCACCTGCACAGCTCAAAACTTGCTACTAATAGTCAGGGCTTACTACCATAAGCAGCTTACTAACAATAGTTAGGCAGGTTACAATAAGAAGGTTAGTAGGATTAGGGACGTTGCTGATTAACTGTAGCAACCACACTGCTAGCACAGCCAGGAAATTCTGGTTGCCAGGATAATGAATTGTCACAAACCAGCTGGCTTCCACATTATTCAGATGATTGTAGACACAGCTTTCCACASTTGCACATGCACCTGATTCTCAGGGAAGGATGCTGTTAACTTGCTGTACTTTTTAATGTGTTCCTAAAATGGACAAAAGATACACAAATTTTATTTGTGAAAAACAGTAAAAGCAAACAAACAAAAATCAGCTTTTTGTGTGTCTCATTCTGATTAAGCTCTGCTCTGGGGAGCTCAGTCCTGTAACCCCTTTATCCCCAAGGTAACTGGAATTGTGAAGGGCACCATCCCAGTTATCCAAGCAATGAGCTCTCAGATCTGACACTCAAGGGCCGCACGAACAGTTGGGTGTGAGGCAGCAGCACTTGGGGGTTTTGAACCCTGAGTTTTTCAAGCAAAAAAGCAACTGCAAMCATTGCACAGCAGAATCTCAGCCCGCAGTACTGGGGGTCATCTGACTGACACATGGAGCCTGCTTATTGTGCCACTGCAAAATAGCCACTCGCAAGAGGCAGCTATCAATGGGTTCATAAAGTTGGTGATACTGCAAAACTATGGGACTTCCCAGGGCACTGAGGATTCCCTACATCCCTCGCCTGTTCACTAGGTTCACAGTTTATTCCCRGGTGAAACCCTCCTTCTGCTGGTTAAAGCTGATTTAATTCAGGCCTAGCAAGCTGAGGCTGAGTTTAGCTCTCCTGGTGGAGCTGCATGGGTACCTGTTTGCCTGCCCCAGCCTGTTCCCAACCCTGAGAACTGGCACACAGCCTCTCCTGTTCCCACAGCTCCCTCTCCTCCCTTTCCCACTGAAAGGCAGCTCAGTGCTGCCCAGAAATAGCCCTCCGTTTCCAACCAGCCACGCAACTCCTGGGTAATATTCAACTTTGTATAAAGGGTAACCAGGAAAAAGCTGCTCAGTTTTATGCAACAGTCAGCTCCCTCCCTCTCTCTCTCTCTCTCTCTCTTTCTCTCTCTCAGACACCTCACAGGCAGCACCACACCCAACCCTGATGCAGAGCCAGCAATTCCAAAACATGGGCCAAATTCCAGCTGAGAGCGCACAGCTCAACTCTGCACTGGTTACCTGTGACTGAACCCGATTTAACATTAAATGAAAATAAAATTCACCCTGGAAGATGATTCTGTGAAATAGAATTCTACTTTTTGAGTCAGAGTTACCAATCCCAAAGGAATTTACATCCCCTGCTAYGGCTGGCCACTGAAGGGACTGGGAAACCAACTGGGCAATGTCCAACACTCTCCCTACTTTCCACCCCATTCTCACAAGTCTTGTGTCTTGACAAAGAAAACTCTACAAAGCCTGCAAAAAGCTCTGAATTCCTCAAGCAAAAGAAATTCTGGAAGGGCCAAGTATAAAAAAAAAGGAGCCAAGTCTGTAGATGAGATTCGTGAAGGTTTCGCAATCCAAGCACAAAATTATCCAAAGGAGATGCACATCACAGTTTATCTGCTCAGGCAAATCACCTTGCAATAACCATGTAGTTTCCACTATAGGGTTAGATTTTKGATTTTTCTTTAAATAACACTTATTTCAAAACCTCAATAAAACACATTATCCGCTTCCCCTTTATTTGTGAGTTGTGTTCCAACCTAACTCAAGTCCCTTTTATACATCACCCATTCAACACAGGCCTTCAGATYTGCTATTTCCTTCAGGCAGCATCCTGTAAAATAATGGAAAAGATCCTAGCCTGATAAATTATTTGCAATTTGGGCATAGATGGCTGGTTACAATGCACTCTCCATAAATGAGAACAAAAGGCAGAGGCAGAACGACATACTTGATAAAGTACTTGTGATTTTTTTTTATCCTCAACTTATCTCTGGTTTCAAACAGTTTGAAATTAATTAAACGTTTGTTTCAGGTGACAGGGAACAGTCTCTCTCCTCTCTCCTGGYTACTCACTGTTGAACAGGGTCCAAGGCTTGTGAAATTCAGATCAAAAAGTCCTTCTGAGCATCTAATAAGTCTATTGAACTTGCTGAAATAGAAGAAATAATCTCAGGAAAACATTCCAGACCACAACAGAAGTTCTTCCTAGTCATTTTGGTGAGGGTTAGTGGAAGCTGAAGGGGAGGCAAGATCAGATGACCACTAACAAAGATGGGGTAAGCAAAGAACAAGAGGAGTTGTTCATTTGTCTCAGTGAGA